TTCCAACGACATTCTTGAACCCTTATAGATGTCATTATTCTTCATGGCATTAGTATGGTGATGGATCAAGATGGAGACTTTTGTAGTTTTGCTTGTAATTTTTTAATTTTTTATAAAAATATGTACAAAAAAATAGAAAGAGATAAAGAGAGTGTTATGATAATTTATAATGATTTTTTAACATTTTAATTAAAATATATAGTTGACAAACGAGACTTAAATCTCATTTTAAACTTTCACTTTATAAACATTTTGATGTCTCTAAAGGAAAATTTTAGTATATACCCCTTTAAAAAAAGATGTATCATACGTACTTTTATTTATATCATTTTTTTATTTAATTATGACAAATTTTCTTATTTAATGATAGTATTATTTTAGTTATGATTTATAAATTCTTTCGTTATGTCTAATGTTGTGTTTAGTTATAACATTTTCTTTTAATTATGATTCAAAAAATTAAAATTATGTCATTTTTATTTTTAGTTATAAGATTAAAAAGTGTGCATCATAGGGTTTTCCGTCTCTAAGACTTGCTCATGTTGTCTTGTCGTAAGTATTTTTTATCCAAAATTTAAACTATAAGTGATAGAAAAATTATAGGAAAAATTACACACACACACACAACCCCCCCCCTAAAAAAAAAAACACAAAAAAAAACAAAAAAAAGAAGTTAGGATTTGACCATTTTAACAAATTAAATTCTAAATTTTTAATTTTATCAATTTAAACTCTAAATTTTTTATTTATTTTCAATCCAAGTTATTTGTTAAAATCAATTGAAAAAATAATAATTTAGCCATCAAACCCAATAAAAACGGTATAAACTCATAAAAATTGTATTTTAGACATTTTATGTATATTTATATTAAGTTTAATAACTAAAATACTATTTTTTTTAGGGGGGGGACAATTTTACTTAATAAAAATAGGTGAATGATTTAGATTGAAAACAAATTAAAATATTGGACTTTAATTGGCAAAATAAAAAATTTAGGGTTTATTTTGTTATAAGTCTCAAATCCTATGATTTTTTTTTTTCTTGTAATTGTCCCAAAATTATATTGAAGCTCGGGGTTAAAATTCAAATACTCAATTATTATAATTAAAATATAAGGAATTAAAATAAAATTCATATGAAAGATATAATTTACCCAATGCACTAAAAGATGCAAAACTTGAAAATAGAAGGTTCCTTTGATTGAAACCACTTATGGGTTTCGGACATTTGTTCTCATTATCTCTGTTTCATTCATTTAATTCTACCTACTTGCTATGATATGAATTCAGTCTAAGACTGTTAAAAATTAATTTTAATACCATTAAAAAAATAGAATAAAATATTTAAACAGAGAAATAGAAAGATTTAAAACTAATCCCCACTTATATACTTGATAAAAAAAATTAATCCAACAATTCTATTCCACATAGAGTGGCTGAGATTCATTGAAAATAGATGAATCTATCTATAAAAAAAAATTAAATGAGATTAAAAAAAATAAAATTCTTTTTTTCAAGGAGTTAGGTCATTAAGAAACCTAACCAAATATTAAAATTAGCACAGAACTAGCAACATAACACATCATCAATGCATGGCACTAAAAATGTGAAAACAAATCATATGGTGTTTGGATACAAGCATTATATATTGATGAAATCATTTCATTGGTATGATATACAAATATACAATTTTTGGAGCATGTTTATCCATCACAAAATGACTCAATAATCTAACATTCCATGTCATGAAGAGATCAAATATTCTATTTTATTGATGTTGATAGACACTTTCTATCTATTTGTGTCTTTCACACCTCCAAACCAATTATCCAAAACCCTACCTAAATAGCTTTCATATTTGATTTGTTATACATATACTAATATAATTTATCTTGCACTAACATGTTTCAATGAGGGTACTTTAATTATTTTGTGATAAAATTTATATTCCCAAATAAGTTGTCAATGACTTTATTTCAGATAAAATAGTCCAATCTAACCATTAGTATACTACATTAGTTGGGCTATTTTGATTTATAGAATGAGGCATGTGATTAACAAAGTAGGACTATTAATGCACATATTACACTTGAACTTTTACTTGAATTTCATTTGTAATAATTAAATCCTTAAATTTCAACTCATATTTTAATTGGATCCTCTTGTTACCCCACTGTTTAAAATTTGAATAAAAATTAAATTATAAAAGCCTAAAATAAAATTTAAATAAAAATTTGGAGATGAAAAGTATAATTTTTCATAATTTTTTTTTTCCTTCTACTACCCTTAAAACGTGCTAAAAGTTAGCACTTTCTATCTAAATTTAAATAGTGAGTGATGTGAGAACCACATTAAAATACAAGTTCAACAAGATTTAATTGTTGCAAATAGAAAATAAGAAATTAAAGTGAAATTCGAAGATAAGTTAAAGGGTGAAAATATAATTTACACATCTTATAATTATAGTGTATAGTAACCCTTTATTATTATTTTTTTAAGGTTAAAGCCTGTTTAGCATGTTGCTAGTCCCATGTTTAGATTAGTGTTATCATTACAAATTAGACAAATTTTGAAGGCATTGTCTAAATAGTTCCCCAACTTTCACCAAGCTAAATAGTATTGGAAACTACAAATTGACTTGAGTATGTCTATTTAGGAGGATGCAGTAAAATAATATGTTTTTTTTTATATCACAAAAAAAAAAAAATACTCTGAAATATTATCATTATTTTCTTCAGTTCAAATCCCGGAATAACCGATTGTTAACTTGATTTAATACAATCTAATTTAACTCATCTCATAGGAAAGCTAACCAGATATACTAAAACAACATGTTGAGCTCATGTCTCTTTCAGCCCAAACTGATAAAGCATACCTGACCCACATATGTAATCAATTTGGTTCCGTATCCAAATTTCATTACCTTTCCTAATGTCAATTCAACGGACCCTTGATGTTACATGCCCACCTTGTTTTTTTCATGGAAGTGAGTTGTGGCATAGATATGGGACTTAGACAAAAAGAGGGTTTTTTTGGCTTGGTATTAAGTATTAAAAAACCTCATCATCAAAGAATAAGATGGCCCTAAGCCCCCCTAACTAAGGGTTTCATCAAGACCAAGAGTTGACTAAAATAAATGATATATACTTAACCTATTCCTAAAGATATAGGGGAAGGAAAGTTGCTTACCAATGAGAGTAGGTAAACCTGTAACAATTTATACAAGTAAAAACTCTTGAAACTTACACACTTTCTGTTCCCTAGCCAAATTTCATTGCCTCACCTAACTAATGTGTAATTTTACCAACCCTTGATGTTACATGCCTACCTTGTTTTTTGTGTGGAAGTGAATTGTGGCATAGACATGGGACTTGGACAAAAAGAAGATTTTCCATTAGCTTGGAATTGTGTATGAAAAATCTTATCATCAAGGAATAAAATGGCCCTAACACCCCTAACTAAGGGTTTCATCAAGAACAAGGATGAGCCGAAATAAGGATATATATGCAACCTACTCGTAAAGATATAGAGGAAGCACTATCTAAGAAAAAAAGATATGGTGGAAGAAAAATTGTTATAACGAGAGTAAGTGAACCTGCAACAAGTAACAAGTGATGCAAGTAAAAATTCATAAAACTAACGCACTCTTAACTTTGTTTTTGTCGAGATCTGAATCCCAACCTCTCGTATAAGAGTGTGGGGCTGATGCCATTGAACTACAAGCCATTGACAGATGAAGTGTTTCATTATTTGAGTTTGAATCTAGCCATTATGTAATGCAACTTTTCATTTTCCTATTCATCACCTCCGTAAAGAAGAGTTCTCCATTAGCTTGGTAATGTGTATGAAAAATCTTATTAAGAAAGAATAAGAGGGCAAGAACTAGGCATTTTATGAAGACCAAGGGTCTAGGCTTAAGGCTTAGTAGATGAGGTGCGTTTTTAAAACCAAGTTCAAATCTAACCGCTACATCAGAGAGAGAGAGAGAGAGAGAGAGAATGAGCTCAAATCCAAAGGACTACTAATCATCAGCATGTTATCCTTACCCATTGCACTGATTATAACCTAATGTTGACAGATTAATGCCATCATGCCCTGTGGTGGATTACTGAAATAGGTGAATTTGCTATATAAGCCTTCAACTTTACAGTTGTATTGAAATAGAGGCTGAAAAAGACTAAACACAACAATCTTTCTGAGGTAGCAAGCAATCAATATCTCATAGCCTCCAAGTATAGTTATTTTTATTCCACCAAAAAGCAAACACAAAATTGATAATAATGCAACACAAGAACAAGCAACAGTGATACTAATTGTTCAAACACTCCCCACAATTCCAAAAAGCTGAAATAAACCAATCCAATTGTATAGTTGTTCATTCATATGAAGCTCACCAATTTGAAGATTGGAGAGAAAATGTGCGTTCATAGACAATGCCATCATAATCACTAGCACTAGTAACTTAAGCATACATATTTCACATGTACTCATTGTTTTTATTTTTTTGTGCAAACAGTTTTCAAAAATTCAAAAATAACTTTGTGATGTTTCCTACAAAGTTGATTGTCTTCAGAAAATTCTCTTCGAAACAGTTGTCAAAAACAGTTCGCTAAACAAGTTTTTTATGTTCTCATTATCACAAAATTGATAATGATAATTGATAATGATAACAAGAACAAAATGCAACAGTGATGCAAATTGTTCAAACATTCCAAACAATCCCAAGAAGTTGAATTAAATAAAACTAATTGTACATTAGTTTATGCGTATGAAGCTCTACCAAGTTGCAGATTGGGGTGAAAATGTACTTTTATAGACAATGCCATCCTAAAAAATGGGTTATTTTCCTAATATTTTCTTGATAAAAGTTTTCAGAAACAGTCAGCTAAACAAGTTTTTGTTATCATAAAATTGACGATGATAACAAGAACAAAACAACAACAAAAAAACAGCAAGGATACAAATTGTTCAAATATTCTACACAATCCCAAGAAGCAGAATTAAGCAAAACTAACTGTATATTATTTCGTGCATTTGAACCTACCAATTTAAAGATTGGAGAGAAAATGCCGTTACAAAAAATAACTAAAGCATATAATACAAATTAAGAACATTTGCTATAAGCATTCGGAATCATTACCAAAATTTATTTAGTTTCTCCCTACACATCATATAATTTTGACAAACCTATATAAACATGACAAACTATACACAAGATCTTCCTATGTTCTTGGATGTTCTCACAAATCCGATACCAACTAAAAAAACACTCACAGGATATATTTGCTTACCAACTTAACAGATGACACAAGCATTCGGATTCTCTTCCATGCTTTGATGAGCATAGTAATATGTGTTCATAGGAGGATAATATGGCCTGTATGCGTAGGGCAAAATTCCTACCACCGGTTCCGGTTTCTTCTCCTCTTCCTTCTTCGTCTCCTCCTTTTTGGCTTCTTCTTCTTTCTTCGGCTCTTCCTCTTTCTTAGTCTCCTCCTCTTTCTTGCCTTCTTCCTGCTTTGGCTCCTCTTTTTTCTCCGGCTCTTTTGCTGGTCCTACTAAGATTATATCAGTTGGCCACAATTTGCGCAATTTGCTCACGACACTTACAGGGTCCACTGATCCAATCACAGTCAATTTCTTGTCCTTCATGTCCATTGAGATGGAATCGATTCCTGCTCAATATCAACAAAAATGCAGTTAACATGTACATTTTATTTTTATTTATTTCCCTTTTTCTTTCTAAAGTTCCCTCAATTCATCCTCTCCGTTTTTAGGCCACCACCCATACGGCAAAATTACGCTCATTTTATACAAACTTTTTTTTCTCTATATATGTACGTATAATCTTCTTATAAGAAGGAAGCATCTCAACAGCAAACAATCACCAAACTCACAACTTCCAACACCCCCCCCCCTTTTTCCACCACCCCCCCCCCCTTTTTTTTTTCCTGCCTTTCATTTATAGTATTCTCCACAAGAAGCAGAAACAACAGATATAATTAGTTCCATTGTGTTTAAACAAAAATCTAAAGGGAAACAAACAAATAAAGATTAGAACAATCAAATTGAAGAAATTTGAAACACTAGAATGTTACCTGCAAGGGTAGCCACTGTCTTGAGTGCCTTCCTTTTGTCTTTGTCATCATTTAAATCCAATTTCAATATAAACTTCTGCAAGAACAAGTCAAGAACAAGAATCTATATCAGAAGAACCAACCAATTCGCAACTAACAAACTCTTTTCCACATTTTTATGGCCTAAAAAACTAACAAAATTGGAACAACATAAATCAAAACCACATATGTGAACACAACAAAGGTCTAATTCTGAATCAACTAAACTTTATCAATTGAAATCAGAGAATCAACTAGATTCACAGATTTGAATCAACACATGATTTGTAAACATCAAAAAAATAGGTAGAAAGTACTGGAAATTTCTGATTCTAAAAAGTTCAGAGACAAAAAGTGATTTCCAAAAAGCTCCCAAGAAGACCATTATAGTTCAAAAGCAAAACCCACAAAGAATAACATCTTAAAATTCTAGAAAAAAATGCAATAAACCCCTTTTTGAACCAGAGAAGAAAAAAAAAAGATTAAATTTTTTTGATTGAGGAATAAATTGAATCAGAACCAAAGTATCAAACCTTCATTTGAGTGGGTGTGTGGGTGAAAAAGCTCAAAATGGAATCAGAACCAGAGAGAAATAATGAAGAATGTTGATTACAGATTAGAGAGAGAGAGAGAGAGAATCAACTAGATTCACAGAATTGAATCAAAACCCAGTTCAACATAGGATATACATAAACATCAAGAAAGTACGAGAAAATTCTGATTCCAAAACTTCCAAAAATTCAGAGACACAAAGTGGTTTTCCAAAAAGACCATTACATTTTTAAAGAAACACCCACAAAGAATGGCATCGTTAAATCATTGGGAAGAAAACTCAATAACCCCCTTTTCGAATCAGAACATCAGATTTAAAAAAAAAAAAAAAACATTATTCAATAATTGAAGTAAGGAAGAAACTGAATCAGAATCAAACCTTCATTTGGGTGGGTGGGTAGTTGGGTAAGATAGCTCAAAATGCAAATAATGGAGATAAATGAGGAATGCAGAGTACAGCCGAGAGAGATATATGGGGATAGTGAATAAAGAGAGAGAAGACGAAACCGAATAATGCTATAGTTGAAAAGATGGTGTGAGAGAGAGAGAGTTGGGATGGAAACAGAACCAGAGAAATCCGAATGAGAACAAGAAATGCAGAGTAAGAGAGAGAAAACAAAGGGTAGAGAGAGATAAAGTGAAGAGGGGGAGTGGAGAGAGAGAGAGAGAGAGAGAGAGAATGAGTGCACGTTTAGAGCTAGAAACTGTGACCAGTGGAATTGTTTAGGCCAGCAGTCATTGGGAGACGAAGGATCGGCAAAATTATTTGGTACTACCGGAACAAGTTGAGGTGGTGGTGTATTAACTTGTTTTTTATTGGTTGGATGAAGAAAAAATTCATTACCTCTTCCGTCTTAAAATATTAATTTTATTTTAAAATTTTAATTTTTTTAATAATATAACTGTTATATTTCAAAATATTAATTTTTAATATTATCCTTTGATTTTTTTTCAAATACATTAATTATCATAATTAATGAATTTTAAAAAAATAACAAAATAGAAAACTCATATCATTTTAAGTAATTCTATTTCCATACACCAAAATATCTCATTTCACATCCTCTCACAATACACATACCAACTAATTTTGAATTTTGTAATTTTACTCAATGCACAACCCTTTTTGTCAAAAATATCCCTCTCTTTAACAATGAAACCCTAAACGGACACTCATTTATAAGTGCTATTTCTTATTCCCTGCTTTGGTCTTGAAAAGAATTTTCATTACATATAACTCTGTTATGTCTCTCATTTACTAATTTTGGTGACTATTATTCGTCGTTTGTTTCCATTTGTGGGAATACAGTTCCCAGTGGGTGAGTTGGAGCCACTACTGTAGTTTACTCAACTACAATTCTTGAATATCTGACAGCAAAAATGCTTGAGCTAGCTGAAAATGCAAGCAAAGATCTAAAAAGTGAAGAAAATCACACCGAGGCATCTACAACTGGCTATTAGAGAGGATGAAGAAATTAGGATTTTTGTGGAGAAGATTAGGACACTTTAGTAATTTTATTTTAAGACAAAACTGTAATAAAAAATAAATCATTAAGTGTGTGCACAGAGATAGATAGGTGTGTGGAAATAGAATTACCCTATTATTTTAGGAAAGCTACTAAATGTCTCTACCTTTTTACTTTAAACCCCCCACTTATTTGACCCCACACCTTCCAAAAGTTTTCTCCACTTACATTTCTTTAGACCCCCAACATATTTCTAACTTTACCCATTTTCTCACCTCTTCCATTTCTTTCTCCGGTAACCCTCATTCTCCACTCTGGCCACCTCCTTCTCCATCATCGTAGCACTCTCTCATCTTCATCCTCTTCTTCTTCCTCCTCCTTCTTCTTCTTATTCTTCTTCTTTTTCTTCTTCCTCCCTCCTCTTCACTCAAAAACCTAACCCTAGATCTAAATCCTCCACTATCACCACCCACCACCATCGTTAGCCACACTTTATTCTTCTTCTACCTCTTCCTCTTTTCCTCTTCTCTCAAAACTCTAACAATCACCAACACTATTTCGTTTTTTTTTTGGTTTTTTTTTCTTTTATGTTTCTTCCTTACATGTACTGGAGTTCCAAAACAAAAACCAGAGAGGCTAAGGGAAAAATGAACACAAGGCTTGAAGAACGGATGACCAGCAACTGACGATTGGGAAGACGAACGCAGACTCCGACACCTGTGAAAGAGAAAGGAGTGGTAAGAGGGTGCAATGACAGCAGCGAAAGGTTGTGTAGGTGGCGGCGAGAGGCTCATCGAAGGGATAAAATAAAGGAGGTGGGTTGGTCGCTGGAGGCCACCAGCGATAGTGGAAGCGGTGGTGGGATTAAGGTTAGGGTTAGACTTAGAAGGATAAAGATAGGGACAAAATTGAAATTTGATATTAGGGCAAAATTGGAATAACAAAAGTGAGGGGTCCAAAGTAAAAAATAGGGACATTAGCAACCCTTTATTTTAGTTTTTATTTTTTTGAAAACAAACTAATATTTTGAGACAATAAAAAATGAAATAAATGGCTAATATTTTGGAATGGAAGTAGTATCTTTTTTTTCTTTTTTCTTCTTTTTTTTTTCTTAAGATGAAATTGTCGTATAGCTCAAAAAAATCGAGTAGCCGTATGCTCATCTAATAATTTCCTCTTATTTCTCCATAATTTCTTCATTTGTACACTCAAAAAAATAATATAAATTATCACATCATTCTCTTTATTTTTTCACATATCTTTTCGTAAATAGTCAAAAAAAAAAAACTAAAATAGTTAATTCCAAGCGGAGCCTTAGTAATAGGTTAATTTAAGTCAAAAAATCATACTCACTCCGTTTCAAAATATTAGTTCCTTTTGGAGAATCTATCTTCTTCTGTTTTTATAATACAATTATTATACTTTAAAGACATTCGCTTGTTTGGTAATTTTTTTAATTTTTAGACACACCTAATATAAATACACTTAAAAAGTATAATATTTGTGAAAAAAAATCTTTAAAAAATTCACTAATAACCAAAAATATAAAAAAATTAGTATATTTTTCATATTTTGTGTATTTATTAATTTTTTAAAATATTTTTTCACAAATATTTTACTATTTAGATACATCTAAGTAAGATGTATCTAAAAAAGTATAAAAACCGCTTAATATTTTAAAAATATTCATTAAAAATAAATATAAAAAAACAAAGAACAAAAAAACTCAATTTTTATAAAATTAAAACTAAATAGACTGATTAATTTTTCAAAATTATCCTTTGACTTTTTGTTAGGACCATCAATTGTTATAATTAATGAATTTAAAAAAAAAACAAAATCAAAAATCCTTGTTATTTTAATCTTTGATTTTTTAAAAAAACTGATATTTTGAAATAATAAAAAATGAAGTAAGGAATTGACATCTTGGGATGGAGGAAGTATAAAGAATCTAAATATATATTTTTATTCTCTTTACTTTTTGTACAATTTATCTTAGGAAATAAAAAATTATTTCTAAGCACTTCAATTTTTTTCATTCCTCTTTTACTTAAAAAGTCACTAAAAAAGTAATTACTCAAATGAATTTTTTAGACTATGTTTGGTTGAGAAATTTTTGGAGAGATTTGAAAAGAGAAAAAGAAAAAATATGTGAAATATGAATAAAATATGTTTATATTTTATTTAGTTTTTCATACCTTTTTCTTTTTTCCTTGCCAAATCTATCCTCAAATCCTCTAGCTAAACACAATCTTAGCAAGGTTTTAAAAACCAAACTGAACCGACCGGTTCAACCTGTTGAACCGTTGACTGGTCAGGGTTCTGATTTAGATATACCTTATAAACCGTTCTAATTTAAAAACTAACCTATTTATAGAGAATCGGAAAAACTGGCGGTTGGACCGTCGAACCGTTCGACCTGAGGACGGGTCAGGTGAACCGGCCAAATTGATAAAATTAAAAATTTTGAACTTTTTTTTTTATATTGTCTAACTGTTTGTTTTATTATGTCTTTCTTTTTTTCCTTCCTTTCTTTCTTATTATATATATATTATAAGAAAATTTTAATTTATTATATATATATATATATATTATAAGAAAATTTTAATTAGAAATTCTCTTTCAAATGTCTCTTTTTGTGAAGAATCTCATTGAGAGTTTGAAATTATTGTAAAAATCTTTACCTATTTATAAGAAAAACATTATTTCAAAAAAATTTAAGAAATTCATGTGAGATTCAATCAAATTTATTGGAGGGAGACTTTAAATTTGACAACTCTCCAAAATCCCTCTAAAATGTTTACTTTTTTTTCAATCAAATTATTTGAATTAAATTCATACAGAAGGAATATTGAATATTGAATATTAGGTTTCCTATTTCAAAATTAAAATTAATAATATTTTAAAATATATTATTATATTTTTTAGTAAAAAAAATATTAAGAGAAATATTTAAGATAATTTAATATTTTAAAATTTTAAAATTTATAATTTTATTATTTTTATTTTTAGTTAAATACAATTTTAATATATTTATGACGTCATGATTCAATTTTAATTTAAATTGACAGCTGAACCGGTGACTCGTCCACTCAATTTCTTTTCTAATTCATTTATTGTCATATTTGCATAGTTTTTAAAACATTAGGAGTGATTTGAAAAATTAATTAAAAATTAAAATTTTTAATTTTTTTAATTTTTTGTCCTTTTTATATATAAAAAAAATATAAGGAATAATGTGATTAAGTTAAAAATTAATTTTAGTTAACTTTTCAAGTTGTCCCTGAATCTTTTTGAGTGGTGCGTAGCGAGCACCACGCGAGTCGCCTTGCTCGTGAGGAGCACATCCACCACATGTTGGGGTACAGAGGATGACAGTGGTTACTGTAAGTCGTGGGGCCACCTGGCAAGGAATCTCTGCTTTTGTGGTTTCTAAATTCTAGCTCGTACTTCCGAGGACACAAAATAAATTAAAAAGTATGTACAAAATAAGGTACTACTACTTTTTTTTGAACATAGATAAAGTACGACTACAAGGATTAAATAAATCAAACTAATCAAATTTTAAATCTCATTAAAAATGAGATTAGTTATATAAATTATCCTTTTTTAAATAGTCTTACTAAAGATTATTTTATTAGTCAAATTAAGTAAATTCATATATCTATTTATAACGATAGTCAACGTTAATCGACCTACCTCGTCCCTTAACACTTCTATCTATTGTTACAGTATCGCATCTCTTCACTACTATCCCTATTGGTCTCCGTTGAATATGTTCAAACCATCTCAATCGATTATCTTTCAGCTTATCTTCTATCGGTACTATTCATATCCATTCCCGAATACAGTCATTTCTAATTCTATCATGTCTAGTCTTGCCACACATCTACCTTAGCATTCTCGCCTCAGCAACACTCATCTTATCTACATGTTATTTCTTAGTTGTCCAACACTCCGTCCCATACAACATTGTTGGCCTAATAGCCATTCTATATAACTTGACTTTTAGTCAAGTGAGTATTCGTTTATTGTACAGTATCCCATACGCATTTCTTCATTTACACTATCCCACCTTAATCTTATGGGCTACATCCGCATCAATCTCTCTCGCTGTTGTGATAATCAACCCTAAATAACGAAAATGTTTACTCTTAGGCAGTTCTTGGTTCTCAATCTTCACTTCTCATCTGCTTTCATTGTTACTGATACTAAATTTACAATCCATGCACTCTATCTTAGTTCTGCTTATCCGAAATCCTTTAAATTCAAGAGCTTTTC